TGCTGCGACGATTCGAGGTAAGTGCCCCTGTTCCCGGTCCTCTTTTTGCCCTTCTGGTACCTGCGTCCCCGGACGCTACAGGCTAGCGGCCGCGGGGCCAGAGCCACAGCCGCAAGGGTCCCCGGCGGATTCGCAGAGGTTTGGGGGTTTTCGGTGGCTGGGATGCAACGCCACCCCGGTCTCCAGCCACCTCGACCAGACTGGAGGGGACAAACCACCACTCGAGGGTCGTGATGCTCGACGACGAACTCTCCCCAACCACTTGCAATTCCGTGACCAAAACCACAACATGACCCAACCACGATACATTGCGCCCCCTTCCCCTCCTCTTTTCTGCCTGCATCATGCAAATACCCCCATTCCATCACACCAATTTCTTTCGTATTTGTCGCTGGTAATTGGCTCATTGCTTCGTTCCAAGTGGAGGCTCATCAGACGCATTTGCTAGACTCCCCATGAACGACAATATGTATAATTCTCGAGATGATAACGCCCACCCCGAGGCGAGGCCTTTCATGCAACAAAACCACCGTATGTCTACATCTCTCTAACCTTCATCTTCCCTCCTTCACTTCCCTACCTATATCCTCTTCTCACTCTTCTTCACCAACCACCACAACCAACACCACGCATCCCTGTTCTTAATACTGACGACCACCTCACAGGCGGCCACTACCCGCCACAATACTGGTCTGCCAGGACACCCTCACAACAATCATCCACGCCAAACACTCTGCGCCCTCACCACGCGACGGGAAGGCATTATGAGAGCGTAGAGGAAGACGACTCCAGCCCCCAGGAAACCCTCTCCCCGCCGCCCTCCTTCGTGCCTCACGCGCCGTCGCCCCCGTCTCAGCAACGGCCGCCCGCCCATCTCCAAAACTTCAGCCGTCCTCCGGAGCAGCAGCAGTTCCCCGCCCCGGTGGTTATGAGCAGCAACATGTTCACCAACAACCAAGACCCCTACACCTCCCCGCCGGCCGTCCGCTTCAACGAGGCCCAGCTCGCCATGGACGAGGTCACAAACCGCACCCGCGCAAAGGGCTTCCGCGACGAGCTCACCATCGCCGCCAACGGCTCCGTCACCCCGGGCGTCGACGACACCCCTTATATCCAGTACGCCCTCGAGGCCCTCACCCGCGAGCACGGCCACAACTTCTCGCCCCCGTCCAGCGTGCCGTCCCCCGCCGACAACAACAACAACAACCACAACCACAACAGCAACGGCTACTACCGCGCCGCCGGCTACCTCCCGGACGACCTCCAGGACCAGAGCCCCCAGATCAGCGGCGACCCCGACACCGGCTTCCAGCCCATGGCCCCGGCCCTCACCCGCAACTCGATGCAGCGCCCCCCGTCCCAGCAGCAGCAGCCCGGCCGCATGTCCCTCGGCACCCGCATCATGTCGCCGCCGCAGTCCGCCGACTCCCGGTACCGCCCGAGCGAGGACCAGAGGCTGCTCGGCGCAGAGCCGTCGTTGAAGTGGCTGCCTATCAGCGAGAAGGAGTCGGTGTTCCCGGGTATGACCAAGCTGGATACTGTTGACGAGTCTCGCGAATTGTATCCCCGTCTCACCTACAAGCCCGCAATCTTGCGGCTCCCGTCGATGATCGTGCTCATGGTCCTCTGCATCCTGATGATCGCCGCCCTCATGCTCGCAGCCATCTACTCCCCGATCCAGCCCGGCCTGCTCACCTACGGCGAGACCATCTACAGCGCAAAGTACTTCCTCTTCCGCATCCTCCCCCAACTCTTTGCCACCGTCATCTTCGTCTACGCCCAGTGCGTGACGGCCGCCACCCTGCGCATCCTCCCGTTCGCCGCCATGGCCGAGGACGAGCCCCTCAAGCGCCGCAACGCCCTCTTCCAGAACCTCTACCCCAAGACCTTTCTCCTCCCCCAGCTCGCCGGGCCCGTCCACGTCAAGATCGCGCTGGCCATCCTCTGGCTCTCCGCCTTCACCATCCCCCTCGCCAGCGCCTCCTTCACCGTGATCCACACCGAGGTCTGGTACTGGACCGCCGTCCAGGGCACCATCTGGGCCCTCGTCGGCCTCTACTTCCTCGTCATCACCGCCCTCCTCCTCCTCGCCCTCTACTGGCGCAACCGCGTCACCGGCCTCATGTGGGACCCCCGCTCCATCGCCGACTTCTCCTTCATGATCAGCAAGTCAAACACCCGCGACTCCTACCGCGGCTCCGAGGTCGCCGAGGACCGCGCCCACCTCCGCCACATCCTCCGCAACCGCATGGTCGACCGCCTCGGCTACTGGATGACCGACTCCAGCAATAACACCAACTCCAACGAGGCCCCCTGGTACGGCCTCGGCACCGAGCACTCCCAGGGCCAGCTGCCCCACGACCTGCACTACGACACCAAGAACGAGTCCGACCGCCGCTCCATCACCTCCAACCTCATCGTCGACGGCCATGGCGACGACTACATCCGCACCTTCTACCTCCCCTGGTGCCTCCGCACCTCCCCCGTCCTCTTCTTCGTCGTCGCCGCCACCGTCCTCCTCGCCGCCCTCTACGTCGTCTCCTTCCTCCACGCCACCGCCCTCGTCAACGGCTTCGACCCCCGCCTCCCCGCCGCCCCGGGCCCCGCCGCCTTCTCCCCCGCAAACTTCCTCTACTCCTTCGTCCCCTCCCTCGTCGGCCTGCTCCTCTACCTCGCCTTCCAGTCCCTCGACCTGCACCTCCGCATCCTCCAGCCCTGGGCCGACCTCGGCGCAAAGGACGGCTCCCCGGCCTCCCGCTCCGTCCTCGCAGACTACGCCGCCTGCCTCCCCCTCCAAACCACCCTCCACGCCCTCCGCAACCGCCACTACCGCGTCGCCTTCCTCTCCGCCACCACATCCCTCCTCGCCTTCCTCCCCGCCATGGCCGGCGCCCTCTTCATGGCCCTCACCGCCGTGCCCCAAGGTGGCGTGCGCATGTTCCCCGTCGTCCCCGTCTTCGCCGTCATCCTCGCCCTGCTCTCCCTCTACCTCTGCGCCCTCGTCTCCCTCCTCTTCGGGCGCAACTACTACCGCCTCCCCCACGCCGTCACCTGCCCCGCCGAGATCTTCTCCTTCCTCGCCAACGAGGACAACGCCGCCGACCCCGTCTTCCGCTCGCCCACCCCGCCCCGCGCAAAGTCCGACCTGCGCGACCGCCTCGGCGCCGGGCCCGCATCCGCGCAGAGCACGTGGATGTTCGGCTACTGGCCCGGCCGCGACGAGCGCCGTCTTGGCGTGAGGCGGCAGAAGCGGTTCACGGAGCGCAAGTCCTTCCACGAGAGGATGCCCCTCCGCGCCGGCCTATGAAGAATTTTCCCGACTTTTATAATGCATTAATGGCCCCCTGTTTCGACGAGACGAAAGAAGCGACGATTTATTTGATTTACAACATACTCATCTCCCATCTTGCGCAAAAAACACAACATAATCTGTACATATGCGCCCGAACTATATCATCTGTTTTAGCTACTAGCATGGGACAACGGCGTTTTACACCCAGGTCAAAAAAAGAAGGGGCGTTATTTTGGGAAAGCATTCGTCCACCAGGACCGGAGTTATTTCACGAGTTTCACGGAGTCTACGATACGATATCGATGTTTCGACGGGTCCAATGATTTATCTGTTCAAAGAGTTGCTTCAAACATGTTTTTTTATATCCCCCATGTATTCACATTGTCCAGTTTAGACATCAGGCTGCCGTCGTGTCATCCTAGCTATTAGAAAGCCTCCCCCCCTTTTCCTCTCGCGGTCGCTAGACCGGAGGAAGCGGGAGCCTAGACCTATACAAAAAGAATGTTCAAACACCTTTCTGGCCCAGTCCACGAAGATTGAAAGAAAAACTTGGAAAACTTGGTTCTTTTCCAAATCTTGAAAATGCCTCCCGCTCACGGAACTTTCCACAGAGCCCCGTCTAGACCCCCCGCCTGCGCTACGTTACGTTGGCTCCCTGTTCAGGTGAACATGCCTCACGGGACGGAATCGGAATTACTCTGGCAACTTGCCCTGACTTTTTGACTTACGGCCGTCGGGTAAGAGGAGGGGCGCGCGGAATGGGGGCCCTTGTGGGGTGTGGCGAAGGTCGACCTCGTTGAGCCTCTCTCTCTTTTGCTCGTCCATACTTTCCCGCTTGATTCTCCTCTTCAGCCCTTGACGGCGATGTTCCGATGCACAGGAGGAAGTGGGACGCGATCGTGAGAGAGGTAAATCGTTAACCTGATCTGACCATTCCGCCGCCATCAGCCTACGCATATCACGAAAAACACGAACAAGTTTTGTAGTTGCTGTAATTATTCTCCGTCTGATTTGCACTACACTGAACACTGAGAAAAACAATCATGCATCATTTCAAAACGTAAAATTGTTCCGGTAAATAATGTCTTCTCATCCTCTCGCATGATCGTGAGGGTCTGTGGTGTCATTCGCTCAAAGGCCGTGTTTCTTTCGTAAAAAAGGTCCCAGTTCCGTCTCTTGCCGTACCTTCATCATATCATCTCTCTCACCTTTTTTTGCATGTTCTCATCTCTTGCCGTTGCCGTTGACGTCCTCGTACTCGTTTCGAACATTCGTGTCTGAGTCGTAGAATATTCCAGCCCGCCTTTCCCGCCCTCCGTCATTCCTCCATCTCCTGAGAGGGCCATCCCTTCCGTGTAAGCTTTCCAGCAATGCCAGGGAAGAAACTCCAGGGTCCTTTCGGCTAGCGTCTCTTCCCCAACGACACACACCTTTCCCGCGTCCCTTCTTCAGAATCGTAGAGTAGCATCAGATAAGAATAACAACGTCAGGCGTGAGCATGAGCATAAGCATGATAAGACAAAAGAAATGCAGCAAAAATCAACGATACAAAGAAGACTGAAAGTGAAAACGCTGTGCTCGCGGAATGAAGAAACAGCAAAAGCGCCGTCATGTGGATGCCGTCAGCCTCATCTGCGGCCTTTCATAGTACCACATTGTAGTCGTGTAGACATGTAAACGTATAATTTTGGAAACACTGAATCCAGCTTCAGTTCCCGTGAGATCTGCCCCGAAACATGCGGCCGAAGCCTCTCTTATGCCTCTCGATGAAGAGCTGCTGTCCCTCGGGTTCCCGGATTGTCTCCGCCGTGTCTGCGCGGGCACGGCGCAGCTGGGCATCCGCGAAAGCAGCGCCTTTGGTGCTTCGCCTCGCCTCACTGGCCGTCCGCTTGTGGAGCGTCTTCACGAATCGGGAGATCGTGTGCTCCGGCTCCGGATCATCTGAATCAGAGTCCGAGTCGAAGTCGAAGAAGCTCTTGGGTGCTGAAGTGGTGCTATGAACTTGGATTGGCGGAGGAAGAGGAGCAGAGCGCGGATGTGACAAGTCTGTTGGGGACATGGCATCCGCGGGATATGTTCCGTGGGATGTGTGAGGGCGGGTAAATGACGGCACAGGGGAGTAGAGGGGCGAGTAGAGAGGCGAGTAAAGAGATGCTGTTGCTGGGGAGTGCATTGGTGCCACAGTAGGTGCTGGCAGCGAGTGCAGATGGATTGGAGGTGGTCGTGTGCCTTTACGAAGGTTCGAAAGGCTTGGCGGTTGTGCAAGGCGAGGTGGGGGAGGAGGAGGATAGGATGGTGGTGGTTGAGTGCGTGGAAAGAGGCTGTATGAGGAGCGCACGGCGCGAATTGTGCGGCGTGGTTCCGGAGGAGAGGAGGGTGATGAAAGAGAGACATCATGCGCTCGAGGTGATGGCATTGTTGGACGTGGCTGGGGGGATGTCATGAGGTTATCTTTAGGAGGAGTGGCTGGGTTGTTGACTTTGATGTTGTATTCAACAGGCCGGGGAGGTAACGGGTAGTCTTCGTAGTTAATGCAGCCCGTCTTCTTTGCTCGGCGGATATGTGGTGAAGGAATCAAAGCAGGATACTGCGTCTTAGACGTCTCTGGTGTTTTCCGACTTGGGTCTTCCTCGGCAGGCCAGAACGAGTCCCACAGCTGTGATGCGGAGGCGTGGTACTGGTAGTCGTCGTCGAGTGAGACTTCCGAATCGGTCCGGTCGTCGATGAGGCTGGGTGCAGAGGACCCGTCTGAGCTTTGCGAGCCGATAGATGAGCGGTCTCGACGGGTGGGTGTTTGGGGACAGGACGGTTCGTCGTACTCTTCCTGGCTGAGATCCTCTGACGAGTACGTCTGCCCGGCTCTTCGGTAGGGGTTGCGACTTGGAGTGCCGTCTGGTCGGGGATATGAGAAGTTTGCGTAGCCGTAATACTTTGATACGAGCTTGAGATGGGCGAGTTTGGTCTGTCGTTCCATACTCGCAGGTCTGGAAGAGGAAAAAGAGGCTCTTGTCATGTCGAGTTCCTGTGCATACCCAATCATGTCCTCAGGGGGGACACAAGACATGACTGCGACCAACGTCTGCAACGACGGCTTGGTTCACTGCTGTTGCAAGCTCTCTAGATAACGACGCCACGATGGAGATATTGGCCGGAGGACGCGAGGGGGACGGACGGGGAGGCAACGATATATGCACAATCCGGCAGCGGCTGTCTCCCTGCCACAAACAGACTTTATGTATGCCTCCTCTGTCATGGTCTGCCATCAGCACGAATCGTACGCCTTCCACCCAACGGCGAACAACAACAGGAGACAAATATGCAGGAGACTGATCCACTGGGTCTCGTCGAGGGCTCTTGGTCCACTTGGTGGCTGATTATGACAACCAGACCATCCCCTGCAATTCTCAGACATTCCTCGCTTGGTGTTCTATCCCTCGTGCGATATGCATGCTCGGTGACGGAAGGCGGCGGGGCCAATCAGGTGCGTTTGCCAGTCCGGACTGCCTACCGGTGTACTTGGTACGGAGCTCGGTGGGCATCGGAAGCTGAGAGGGGGGCCTCGACGACTCCAGGGAATGGCACGCTGACTTCCGACTCGACGGAATGCACAAATGTCTGAAAAAGGCATGACTTGGGTCGCTGGATTGCTCGAGTTTCCATAACGTGGGAACAAACGCGCTTTCGACAACTCTCGTTGGTTCGTCGTTTGTGATGAATGGAAACTCTTTTGAAAAGGATCGATCCTTTTCAAGAGAGGCTATCGCGATTGCCCCATCCGGAGGCCTGCTTGATGATGGAAACCCATGCTAGCTTCAGCTTCGCAAGGAAGAGGCAGGAGGCGGGGCTTGGTTTGCGGAGCCTCAATCACTTGATCTCTTACCCGCCTCCTTGCTTGTTCGAATCTTCCGTCCGCCGGATAACCGGGTGCCCTCTTCAACGAATGAACAGTACCGGTCCTCTGCAGTTTGTTGCCGCTTGACTCGAAGCTGCATTGGGGGCCGGCGGGAAGTCGGGAAGAAAACTCTTCATGTGGAAGCCAGTGACTGGAATGTACAGAGCTTGTCGATGTCTCACCTCCACGGCGACTGCCCTCTGCCATCCGAGTCGGTGGCGCCACTGCGACGCTGGAGGTCCTTCTCGACCTTCGTTTACCGGCGCAGACTTGTGAGGGCCGGCCTAGATTGCCCAGAGCATATGCCGGGCTCCAAAAAGAGGCAACTAGGCAAACAAAAAGCTGACAAAAACTGATTGAAGCGAAAGTTTGCGCATTCTGCCTGTGTAAACTGTTTTCAAAACAACAGAACTTTCAAAAAGACAGTGAAACAGCCAATATTGCGTGGCGTGATCTTTGTGCTGAAGCTTTAGAATCAACAAGCGGACCTCTTTCCACGGTCTGTCGGTTTATCTCGCGGTCTCTCACCAAGACAGTACGGGATACTCCTTCTAAGCCTCAAAACGATCTCGATCTGAATTTGAGGGAAAGATCGCCGTTTGGCAGTGGCTCTGCTTTTCTGGGGCTTCAGCTGGGGGATGGGCAGCCATAGAGTGGCCACAACGTTGAATGACGAAAAGCACGTTCCCTTGAATCTGTTTGTTTGGCGACAATCTTATTCTGCGGGCCGTGTGTTTTGACATTGCCGTTTGCTGCGGTCCGTAGGCATGCGGCGTGCTGGAGCAACGGCAGCCACCGGATGTAACAACAGCTGATTGATGTGTGGGTTGATCGGTTGGATTGCGGGTGCCGCGCGAAAACCAGGCTGAGGCGGAGAAGGCCTGGCGCCCATATGAAATGTTGCAGGCGGGAAAAAGCCTTGACCGGAGCGGGAGTCTCAGCAATTTGCCAAAGTACGTCATGCCGTTTGCCGTACGCCTCTTGCCGTCGAAAGCGGGTTCCGTAGCATGTCGCCAACGACTGATGTCATAGGTCGCGTAGGAGTATTTTTCGACGCTGCAAATCTGATATTCAGAGGGTGTTTGGCAGATGCTCGACGCTCAGTAAGTAAAGACCCTTTCACTGGCCATATTCTCAGACATCAGAATGCGGGAGATCGTCTCAGTCTAGGGTGGTGTGCAGCCAGGACACTGAGGCTCCTGTCCCTTGTTCGAGAGCTTTCCCATGCGAGATGGCGGTTTCCTGGATTTTCCCGACTCGACAATTCGATGGGGGGGCAACAGAGCTCGTCGATCAACAGGGGATGATCGTCCCTCGCATACCGAGGGGATTTTGTCAGCTTTTACGAGCTAGGGATGTATATGTGTTCTAAGGTAGTGTTTGTAGGCTCCCGAAGATGTAAGACTGTGGAGAACGGCCGCATGCAAGGGAGTCTGCGAAGAGGTAAGCAGCTTTCCCGTCTTTTTCTTGCACGCATTTGGAACTCCGTGACCCTTGGTGACCCTTGAGCCCCTGATCAGGGTCAATTGCATCCTTGTGTTCTCTTGAAGGCTTTTTAGGGAGCATCGTGGACCCCTTTCTAGGGTTCTTGCAGGTCCCCTGGGTTTAAACTCCCAGTCCCTCCCTGTAATCCCTTGATAGCAGCCTTCGTTTACTTGTTTCAAATGCACCAAAACTCAGCCTGTCGACTCGGAAAAACCCAATTGGCCGTTGCGAAGGGAGATGTCAGGCAGCATCCGACTCGACCCGGAGTGTACTGCGGTGCGGGAACGCGGACTGCGGTCGTGGGAAGCTCTCCGAATGGCTCGCGGCCCGCGCAGGTTCTCGCACATGCCGATTTGGGCTGGATATCCAGGTCCACGCCCGGCAGCCATCAACGCGCGTTGCCCTCTCATGCCACTGCGGGATGCCTCGTGAGAGAGGGCTGAAGAAGATCGCCGATCGTGTTAACCATGGCGGTACGTGCTCCGAAGTCTCCAAAGTTTTCAGCTTCGTCGGGCTGAATGCGTTTGCGTTTGATGGCAGGCTCAGCGGTGGAAGAATGCTGTACCTGACTACTCTGGTCAGATCGGACGATTCACAACGGGGTCGTCTCGGAGCTCGAGATGAATGCCAATTGTCGGATCGCAAGATTTTCTCGCTCGATCCATCGAGCAAGGACTTTGCATGTGCTCACGGCGGAATTTCGACGAGATGCGCCGAGAAGGGATGGTCCCAGACGGCAGGACCCAATCTCTGAGCCCAAGATTGAAGATTGGGGCGTATTTTGCATGGATCCGTCGACATCGTTGTCGTTTTCTCTGGCCCCCAAGAAAGTAGCCCCCAAAAACGTTGTTTGCAATGTTTCGTTGAGGCGTTGCATCACGTTCTGTCGAAGATTGGCAAATGCCCCAGCAGAAAGGTAGAGATGGTGGTTCAGGCACACGCGGTCGACTGCGAGCTTAATCGACAGTATGGCTCAACGGCGGCCGTGATTGGCTTGGGAAGGAAAGTCCAGGAACAGGGGGCCGTCTTCGGGAGCGACCCGTTCTTTCCAAGTTTGATTCCTCTGGAGCACGGGCCTTCACCCCCTTCGCCTGGCTTGGCTGCACCACCTCAGAGGCTCAGCCAGCAGGCAAGTCCAGGCTTACCAAATCCAAGTTGAGGCTGGAGGTGGCCTGTGCTGTAGCTTCCATGAGTGAGGTGAGCTTGGAAGGAGTCAATCATGTCCCCTCCTTCCTGAGATGATTCCATGCAACCCAACTCAGCTCTCGCCTTGACCTTCAAAGCTGAAAGAACTCGGCTCTTCTGTCTTCGACATCTCCGTTCGATGTCTTCGCTTTTTCTCTCAGGCTCGATTCATGTTTCAATGCATGTGCCTTGGAAAGGACAAGCGCAACAGACGGACGAACGCCTTATGCAGGCCGCGCTGCACCCCATCTTCCAAACGAACTTTGCTGATGAACGCCCGCGCCCTACTGAGACGATCTACTGAGTTTTTCCAGTCATAGAGGAGGAGGTGACTACTTCCTTGATCAGAAAAATGACGAACGTTTATTCGTAGCAGCTGTTCCATATCGACCCAGGGACCTGCTCTGCTCCAAGATCAGATACCTGTGACCTCCCCTCTCACCCAACCCGCTGAATAGCACCAGCCTCTGTACTCCTCCCGGCTAGCGCTCCAGACGGGGGACTCCTGGGTGCAAACCGGCCCATCGGGATCGCTGAAGAAGGGGGACGCCAGACTGCGGGTGATTGGCAATGGGGAGTGGGTTTCGTCACGACCTGACGCAGTGACAACTCACACTCACACACACCTTTTCTTCACCTTCACCTTCGTTCCATCTCTTGCTCTCTCAGCACCTCTCACCGCCTGCCCCTTACTCCGTCGGCTCAGGAACATGTCATGACTCCGCGAGACTGGCTGCAGCCATCTTCGCGGCTGCGGTCGGGCCAAGGTAAGTTCGGTCGAGGCCAACTCAATGGTGGAAAGTCAGCCTGCCCGGTCTTGTTTCCTGCGTTTGCTCTCCCACTCCGGCCGTGGCTGGCTCTTCCCACTGTCGCGGCGCGGCGGCCACGGACACGGCTCTGGCACACACCAGTGACCACACATCCACCAGCGTCCCCAGCCCCCCGGTTTTTTCCCACTGGCTCAGTTCTTGCGAAAGCGCAGGCAGATTCCCTGCCTTTGCCGTCGCCCCTGTCACGGCTCATCGGACACTGCGCCAGAGAACAGGTGAGGCGAGCAGCTCCAATTTCGTCCTTCGGTCGCACTCAAAGGTCGCCGCCTCCAGCTTGTCCGTCCATCCCAAATGGCGCCCAATGCCCAATGGCCGACTGTCAGCCCATGTTCGCGCCGAGTTTCTTTTGCCCAAGGGTTTTCCCTTCAGCTGACGGGATGTTCCTGGATCGCACACGCGTGGCCGCGATGGCAGATTTGGGCTGGGCTAAGATGGACCACCATCCAACTACCGTAGCATGCGTATCCGCGATTCCCATGCGCGCAATGGCAACGATAGTCGGGGACAGCCATGCTGCAAAGAGACTTAAGACGGCGCCGTTAAGCCGCCCAATCCTGAATGCTGCAGCCATCTTCCAAGCCGGCGTTGCCAATAGCTGGCGTAAGAGAAACCAGCTCGTCGATCCACATCCCATGCGTCTTGCTGTACGTGTGTTGTACCTTGTCTGCGAGCTGCCTGCTGCACGAAGCTGCAAATTTGCTGCAGGCCGTGATTTGACGGGGGCGGGTCCTTTTGGAAGCTTCAGGTCTTGCCCATGCCAATTGACCTATCCGCACCTCGAGGTCTCCGAGCTGCCAACCTCTCGCTGTGGGATACCTGGTCTTGTCCGCAAGGTGAGGCAAGGTAGGTAGAGAGCGAGAGGGAAAGGTATCCGTATGCCGTACCTAGTGTATGGGAGTGAGATGCTCCGCCAGAGCAATAATAGTCGACGCGAGATGATGGGTTGGGTACGGTGCCGGTGCCCTGCCGAAACAATTAAAACCCGTCACCTGTCCCAACCCGCGCGTGTCCCCATCCACGTCCCCGTCTCGGTTCCCCGTCGTTTCTGCCCTGCTCTTGTCTCGAAGGGAAAAAAGAAGACTTGCATCATAGTCGACCTTACCTTGTCTTTGATTCTGCCATTGCCGCGACCCCCGACCTCGACGACACGCGACGCCCTCGAACCCGCCGTCAATGACCTCGACACCTGCATCCTGACCAAGGTCAGACCAGACGGAGGTGTTGCTGGGCGAGCAACCATAGGTCTGTGTCTCCGAAAAAGGGCCCTGGGCAGCAAGCAAACCTGCCTGGCAGCAGCCACTCAAGCCATCCCGTCTCGTGCTGCTCTCTGTACGGCACTGACTCTGCGGCTGCGGGTGTGAATGTGGAGGACGAGTACCTCCCAGCGCAACGCAGCCCGAGACATTGACAATCAGGTCGGAATCATCAATTGAGGAGAGAGGTGCAAGTTGCTGAGGCGCCTTCCAGGGCTGCTCTGGTCGACTGCTTGTTGGGCTTGAGGACATCCGTCTGTTGCTGCATGTTTGCTGGCTGTCCACTGAGAGAAGCAGTGTCAGAGAGAGATTCAATCCATCTTGGTGCAGCAGTTGCCACAACGCAACCCAACCTCGAAGTCCAAGCAGCAACGGCAAGTCCCAAGTCCCCTCTCCCGCCCCTCCCACCTGCCCGAGCTCTAGGTTGGTAGTGCCTTCCCTGGGTGCTCCTGCGTGATGCCCTCCACCCACCTGGGTTTTGGAGTTGACAGAACTTGAGGGAAGGTGCTGTTTGGTAAAACAACCTACCTGCCAACTTCTTCTTCCAATTGATCACGCCTGCCTTGCCTGAGACTTTCATGCTTCTCACTGCAAGACAGGTGCACAGTGGAAAAAAGAAGTGCACAATCTTTTGTTGTTTTTTCTTTTTCCACCCAACGCGTCGATTACCGCTTTGCGCGCGCGTTCTCCCTCTCACTCCTACCCTTCACACGACTCTCTCATTTACCAAACCACCAAACTTCGCATCACGACAATCACAACAAAAAAGAGGTCGAGCTGGCGCATCCAACAAAAAGCTTCACCACGGGCAATTATTCCTCCAGAAACCACTGTTCCAAGACCTCCATTTATCGCCCCGACGACATCATCAATCCTATTTATCTGCGCCTTATCCATTCGCTCAGCGCGCATCGACCAATCTTCCGCTCGATTCCACTGGCCGCCCCCAAAGCCGCCTTTTCGCCTAGCCACCTCTTTTTCCCAAATCTGACGCCAGCCTCTCCCATTTCCTTCCGCTTCGACCTCGACCCTCTCTCTCCCGGCTGGTGGCATTCTCACACCCACCACCCTCTCTACCTTACGTTTTGCCAGAGGATCCATACCACTCCGGATTTTACTTCTCCTCTGCTAAGCAGCATCTTGCCTGCTTGCGCAGACCGCTTTTATTAATTCACTTTTTTGGGTGTGGTATCTGTGTACTCCATCAGCACAATACCACCCTACCAAGTGAGTTGTCCCCTGTTCCCTCCAACCTCACCTATTTTTTTTCCATGTTACCCCCAAGGAGCCCACACCACCTTCGTGCGCTGTGCTGTGCTGTGCTGTGCTGCTCTTCGGTACTTGCTAACACCAAGATCAGCATTCTCGCAGGTCTCGCCAACCCTCGCCTGCCTTACATCACTCATCGACGACCCTCAATCACCACCTGGGTGGTGACACTTTCACCTTGTCCGCCGCATCAGGTCAGATCAGTGACCTGGGCCCCGTCGCAAAGTTGACGAACCCAAATTCCCCCACGCCCTCTAACGACCGTCACGAAATTCACGACCTCACGAACCCTACCCCCCAGCGCCAGCAGCAGCTGCGTAGGCAATCGCGAACCATCACTCCAGATCCAGCTGAGAGACCCTCGACTCCAGCTTCATCCCATCGCACCCTTCGCCGTACTCCGCGATTCGAAGCGACCCCGAGTCCCACCCCACAGTCAACCCGCCAAGTACACATTGAAGCTGCTTCGGTTGGTTTCAGTCCCAAACCACAACTTGCGACTGCACCTGCCCCCGCGCCCGCCCTTGCGCCTGCAGCTCCCCTTAACTACGACTATCCCCGACTCGTCGCCCACGAAGACAGACGAAATTTCCGTACACGAAGAGTTCTCTCGCAGGATCTGAGCGAGGACTTTCTTCTGGAAGAATCCTCGGACGAAGCCCCGTCTTTCCGAGACCGATCATCCTCATCTCCCAATAAACGACGCGAGTCTCACCGACCTCATCGCGTCTCCAGAAACACCCGCAGCGCCATCCTCTTTGCCCTCGAGGAAGCGCTCCGACAGCCCCACCCGTTCACGCCCGACGAGATCGAGGAAAGCGCATCCATGGCTGACCTTATCGGAGGCGGCGCCGCCGCTTCCAATGGCAATGCGTCCACCCCTTCTCGCCGCCCAACTGGCGCGCCCAACCCGACCAGCTCGCCTTCCGGAATTCGTGGTCCTAGAATGATCATGCAGGAGCGAGCTGCCAGAGAGGCCGCCCGACAGAAAGCCGAGCAGGAGCAGATGCAATTGGAGAGACAGCGAGCTGAGCAGGAAGCTCGTTTATTGGAGGAGACTCAGAGACGGAATGCGGAGCGCCGCGCTGCCGCCGCCGCCGCTACTGGCGCTGCCGGAGGAGGATCTGGTGGCGCTGCCAACGTGCCCCAGCCAGACCCCACCTCCCAACGGCGACCCGTAGCCACCGATGCCCCACAGTCCCGGCCTGTTGCGGGAGGAACCTCCCGCCAACCGGCGACAACACAGCCTCAAACCCGGCATACCCGCACAACATCAGGCTCTCACGTCGGCCAGCAACAGTACAGCACCAACCCTCAGGCCGGTACCACGCAGCAGCCTGCAACTGCCACTCAGGGAGGCCAGGAGACGACCGTCGCAGGATCCAGACCCAGAAACTCCTTCCCCCATGCTTTCGAGCGCTGGGAGACCTTGTCTGCCCATTGGGAGGGTCTGACTAGCTTCTGGATCAGGCGTTTGGAGCAAAACAACCAGGATATTGACCGTGACCCCGTCAACCAGGCCCTTTCTCGTCAGGTTACCGACCTTACCGCTGCAGGTGCAAACTTGTTCCATGCTGTCGTCGAGTTGCAGCGTCTCCGTGCCAGTTCCGAACGCAAGTTCCAGCGCTGGTTCTTCGAGACCAGAGCAGAGCTGGAGCGAAGCCAAGAAGTCAATGCCATGCTGGAGCGAGCCCTTGAAGATGAACGACGTGCTAGAGAAAACGCCGTTCAGGCCGCCATCCAGAAGGAGAGAGTCACCTCGGCTAACGATGAACGCGTCAAAGAGATGAAGAAGGAGCTTCAGATCTCCAAGGAGGAGGCCCGTCGCGCTTGGGAAGAGCTCGGACGCCGTGAGCACGAGGAGAGAGAAAGAACCCAGTCTCTGCAGAGCGGCCAGCCCACTATTGTGGGCGGTGTTCAGGTTGTGCCCATGACCCAAGGTGTACCCAGTCGCCACGGCAGCTCTCGTGAGCAGCGCGGATATCAGACCGACTACAGCGGCCAGCAGAGCGGCTACACGGGCGAGTACTCACAAAGCGCAGCCAACCCGCCTGTCACCTCGAGCCCTGGCGGCAATTTCTATCCATCTGGCGACGCAGGCCAGGAAGGCGTGAGCTACACCGGTGCTGGCTCCGAAGGCGGTTACAGTGAAGGTGAGTACACGATTGATGCACAGGGCCAGTTTGTTCGCGATTCGCAGGGAAACAAAGTTCCCTTCATTGCTCCGCCTTCCCCAGTTTCTGACGAGGGACTAGAAGAGTACGAGACTCCTGCGACCAACCCTCCTAGCGCCGGCTATTCACAGACTCCGACGACCACAGCTGGCGGTCAGCAACAGGGCACTCAGGACTACTCCGGCTCAGGCTACGCCGCCCCGGGCTGGGAGACCGTTCCCAGACATCATCACCCGACGCGCCTGAGCGATGTTATGGAAGAAGAGGATGAGCGAAGCCGTGCCAGCAATAGCCAGGTCGGACGTCACTAGTAATTGGCTGTTGACCCGGTTTGAACAACCAATACGTGCTGCGTCTCCGATTGATTGCTGTTCCTACGCATCGTCGATTCATCCAAGGATACACAGCACTTGACAACGTTGCTTTCTTCCTCAACTGAAGTCTGCATTATCATTTACAGCCTTGCGATTCGACAGTCTCGAAGCTGTGTGGCACGAACAAAGCAGGCAGCTACAGAAACACATGAATCGACAGCTCAGACGCTTGTCTCCGAGGTATAGCCACGCCTTCACGATTGTACGGATTTGCGGATACCCTTGAGCCTCGGAGCCGCGCTCTACAGCATGAGCAACAAGAGATGTTGCAGCTACAACCTGTGCAGTCTGCACCATTCCGGAGTTTTGACGCGATGGAGGTTAGACTGCATACGGGCACACTTTGGGCTGCCCTCGCTCTAGACATTGTTGGACTTTCTCAAGCGCGACTTGACGACTAATTTTTACTGCTTGGCATTTGGCGAGTTTTGCGACAAAAAGAAACGGTTCCGAGATGGTTGATGGACACGGCGTGGCGGTTGGGCGTGGCATGAATGGTCAGCATCGCATGGCATACTCGTGTTTCTTTTGGCGGCATTTCGTTTTGCTTTTTCGCGACTTTTCAACTTCGCTACTCGGGTTTTCGGAGCGACGCCTCATGTCCTGGTCCTTGTAGGACATTGGCGGAAGTTCTTCAGCCTGAGAGAGTATTCGTACTCAGCTCGACTCCTGATGGCAGATTCTGCACGGCTTCTGAAGGAAACATATGGAGAGTGAACAGTTTGGGGAGAAAGATGTTGAGCTTCGGCCATGGAGACCTCGAGCTCTCAGCTGGGGGACGGAGCCTTGTATTTGTAGAAAAAGACTCTGCCAAGTGTAGGAGATAATTCATTGCTGAGTGCGTTTTTCTGGTGCCATCGTATGGAATGTGCTGGCTGGGCAATCAGGCTGGGAGCGCTGGCACTGTCCGGGTGCGCGCGGCAGGGGAAGCAGCCTGCCTTGGGTGCGGACTTCACGCATTCCTGGCGTCTGGCTACCTAGACATTGGTGCTCATCTGCAGATGAGACTGCGTCCACTTGCATTCATCCCTTGCTGGCGAGCATCCGCCAAGGCTTATCTAACGGCCGGTGTGCCGTCACTGGCCAGAGTACGCAGGCTCTCATAAGACTTGGCATTCGTGATGTACGTTCGGGTGAGTTTTTTGTCTGACGGCTATCTGTCACATCTCGGGACGTATAAGCCACCATCAACTTTGAGGACATGGATACCGCCTATCTTTCCTGTGCTTGGGGTCAGATGGTTTATTGGAGTAGGGACAGTGAAGACAATGCGAAGGATGACAGCAGAGACGATAATAGGAGGGACGATGATAGCAATAGTAGAGACAAGGACGACGACAGTAGCAGAGACGACGACGACGACGCCGAGAGATATAGAGGAACCACAAAGGGAATTTAGTCACCGCAACCTGGCGTCGAATGGATTCGTGTGTGTTATCGTGAGGCGCCTGGCAGACTGGGTTCTGGTCACTGCTATTGGATACACCCAGTCTACGTGCAGGTGTGACCGGAAGCTCCCACCAGTCGGAAAGCGAGGGCTCGAGATGTACGAAGAACGAGAATTCCGGGATTGCGCGTTTCTCACAATATAAAAAGCCCGTTGTGTAACCGTTACAGGCGATCTTGTGTTCCCATCCTTTTCGCAACTCAGCCAACCTCCAACCAACAGAACACCATCTTTCCTATTGGGAGTACTCTCTGTACCACGCACAATGCGCCGTGATTTGTTGGAAATGTTCCTCGACGACGCAGGTGGCTTTGAGAAGTGCCTGGGGCTGGAGTACGCGAGCCACGACGCCGGAATCGAGGACAGTATAAGGAACCCTGACCCCTTGCTCGACCGCATGGGACCTATTACGGATAGGCTCTTTAGCTTGAGCCTTGCTGATGATTACGACTATGGAGGTAAACTCGGAGCTAGGATCAAAGCGGGCGGGTTTGCTGGCGAGGCGATGCCTCATCCCCAGATCAGTCTCCAGGAGAGCGTCTTTGGTCTTTCTTGCCGGGAAGATGGGGTCCTACAGAGATCGAATTGCTATGGCCTTGTTGCACCTGAGGAAAGACGGCCAAAGGCCAAGACCCAAAGCACGGCAAAGTACGATGGTATGTGCTCCCGTTACCTATAACACTCGTGACGATCATCGAGGACTGACGGCGATAGCATCTTCTCACCTCGAGCTAAAACTTCAGCTTCCTCGTAGACCAGCGGCCAAACAGCAGCATCAAAGTGTCCGCATCAAGCCCGAGGTCGGTTTGCTAGATGGAGAGAGCCAACGTTCGCGTCCGGTGGCAGACCTAGTCTCCGAGACTACAGCTGTCCCAAGCCATAATACCACCCAACAAGACAACCAAGAGGAGTCAAAAGAACCCGCGGGGCTCCCGAAGCCTTCTGTGTCTCTGCCTGCAAATGACACAGGAGATTCCTTCACAGGAGAGACCAGTTCACCCAGACAGAAGTTTGCTTGTCCTTACCTTCAAAAGGACCCGGCGACCTGGGGACAACAACCCAAATGCCGGGGCCCGTCTTTCGCTACTATACACAGGTTGAAGTAAGTAACCACCGAGCCGCCTTGTTTGATTCTAGAAGCGGATATCCAACATGAAGACTGTCTTCAGAGAGCACCTATATCGAGTCCATCAGCAGAAACCCAACTGCCCACGTTGTCGAAGCACCTTTCCCACCCAGGACGAGGTTAATATCCACATCAAGTCAAAGAGCCCCTGCGAGTTGTCGCCAGACATAATCATCAGGGGTTTCGATGTTGCGCAAAGGGAGAAGCTGCGATGCAAAAAGCGAAGCTGGGGAAAATCGGGGCAGGAGAAATGGGAAGACATCTTCCGGATTCTCTTCCCGGACTGCAAAGAGATACCAGACCCATGTAGGATGCCGTTACCATAATTGGGGAATATCACAGCTGACTTGGCACGACAGACTACAACCACAACTTCGACGGCGTGGCTCCAGATCCAACCACGGCAGGCAAGAAACGCCCGCTTGACATTGAGAGCGTGTTCACAGACGGGCTTGCGCAAGAGCTGGAGGAAGAGGTATGTAGACAGCTTGAAGGGGTAATAGGATCGCAGCTGGACGCACGGAAACGGAAAAAGGTGATGCAAGTGGTCGAAACTTTGGTTATCAAGGTACTCCAACAGCCTCTGGTAGCGAAAGATACGAAATCCGGCGAGGTACTGGTCGAAACGCCCGAGGATGAGCGAAGCTACAACGAGCAGCAGACTACCGAATCTAACGCGAGGTCAACTTCAAGCGATTCTTCGCCGCCGACTCAAGCATTGCGTCCGGCGGCTGCCCCTGAGGTAGGAGTCGACTCTCACGACCTCCAATCACGAGCTATCTCAGGTGAGGCGTTCATCAGCACCCCTGAAGATGAGGGCAACGCCTGGCTTCCCGCAGAGTTTTATGACTTCGATTTTGACGATGAGTCGAGTTTGCAAAGATGGCCTGGTTGGAACAGTGCTTTTGTTGAGGGGAATGGTTACGAGTGGGCTGCTGTGGGTGCCACTGCGTTTCGAGTGCCATACTGGAACCAGACTTTGGACTACACACCGGCTCAGGGAGATGGAAACTTGTCATAAAGCAACCTTGACTCCAAGACCTTTGATATCGGGTTGTCACCGGAGAAGTATGCAGCTGGGCACACGCACCTGACTGTCTTCACCACTCCGGGTAGAGAATAACTCTCAAGGTTCACGATCCCACATCTCTGAAAGAGCAACATAGAATTATTTACTCGCCACAGTGAAACTTAGTCCATATTCGCAACTTGCTATTGCCATCATCTTTTGGCCATTCGCCTTCTTGCCTTGACTCACGACAAAGTCATCACCATGGACAACAACCTCAATTTACCCAAACGTTCCTTTAAGCTGCCATTCGACTACCCACTTTCTCAACATTTCAAGAAGTTCTCTCAACTTCCTCGGGCAGTTCAAAAAATGGTATGGACAGAGTTTTATCGCAACCCGCGATATTTTGTCGCAAAGTGGGTACAGTGGTGCGAATTGATCAAGCACGACCAAGACGACGGGAAGCAAGACGACAACAAGGCGGATGACAGTGACGAAGGCTGCAGCGTGGAAGACAACTACGATGAATATGAGCCGGAAGCCGACGATTCTTCTCTGATGTCCGTATCCAATTATTTTGTACATCACAGCGGTTGGGAACTTGAGCCCATCAGAACGAAGGCACACTACTACGACGCGATCGACAACACCATCGACCCGATGTCTAGGGAAGTTGCCAAGGGCCTCCGACCAAGCCTTCGGCTCCCTGTATGGACATGTTCCACAGAAGATCATCTTGGCTTCTGGTCAAACACATCATCTCACAGCAGAGCTACAGAGGACCCCGTTATCAACTTCGAGTCAGACTTCATCTACATCCAAAAGACGGGATGGCCTCAGACACAGGCGTTGGTAAGCAAGCGATACCTCAAATGGATGGGCAGCATCCGCAATGTCATCATCGACACCGACGTCAACCTGCAGGCAGGATCCGAGGACGAAGTAAGACGGGAGGTTGCGAAGGGAATCACGAGAGAGAACTTATGGCTGTGGAAAATGAGGCGCTATCTGCCGAATCTCAAGGTCATACGGCGCGCGCTCACGGACAAGGCACCGCAGCTTCTTAACGAGTGGGCGTACTTCCAAACGAGGTACCTGCTTCGCGAGGCACACGACGAGCAATGGCGGAGCACTCGGCATGACATTGCAACGGACAACCGCTGGCTTCCCGGAATGTGTTCGCCCAAGGAACCTCAATGGAAGCCATTTCTCGATAGTTTGCTGGGTAGCGGTGCCACGTTTGGATGCGCTATTCCAAAGGATCTTACACGCGAAGACGACGAGGTTTCGGGAAGCAGGAAGCTTTTTGGGGGATTTGTTCAAGATTTGGTCGACGCAGACGCTACAGAGTGGTAAATCTGCAGGGAAGAAGACTGCTCAGGCGGAGGAACAACTTTGATGCTACGAATCAAGGATCTGGGAGCGCAGGGGACATGCGGATAATTTTACTGGGAAATCATGTCAATTGATTGACGATCTCCCTTGCTAGAAACGATGATAGTGAGATCAAATTCACCGGTTCGCCCACCCCCAAACAGGCTCCCCTCTCAGTCGCTACCATCCGCTTATCAGCAAGGGACTACCCTCAAGGTCCCAAAGGGGGCGGCCTCTGGGCTGCTGGTTGCGGTTTGGATACCACCTACGTCAGCTGAACCAGCAAACGGCCTTTTCCACATGCAGACAAATCCTGAAGACGGTGAGGGCGGCAGACCGCAGAGGGGGGACCCATTTGCCTAAGGCGGCGGGGCTCGCCAGCTCACTGCTGGCACGCCCTGCATTGCCAATCAGCCAACCACGAGCCGGCGGGTGGCAGGGGTGTGATGCGCGAAGAGTGAGAAATGCGAAGTTGCGATATTCTTTTGATTTTTCATAAAAACATGAGAGTTTGTGTTTGACCGCTTCCCTGTTGCAATGAGCTAGCTTTCTCTTTCAATTGCGACTCATGAACATCTTGTGAGAGAGAGAGCGTCGCGACCGAAGACACGCACGATGAGAATGTCACCTACCATCAAGACCGAGGCCGTCACACCGCCGACGGCCGGCCGGGACGAGACTGATGGATTGACGAGCCGAATGTCGGGGCTGGATCTCGACGCCTTCCCCACGCCGCCGACGTTTGGCAAACGGCAGTCGATGGGATCGCCGACGAAGGTCAAGTTTGAGAAGAGCTTTGACTGGAAGAGTGTGTTCAACGGCAAGAAAGAGGTCAAGCATGAGATCGACGACCCCCAGTCTCATGCTTCTTGGCCTGCGCCAGTGCAGTATCCCCAACAGACAGCGCCATTCCCGGCGCCGGTGGCGAAGAGCTTTGATTTTTCAAATTTTGGAAGAGACCAGAGCCCTCAATTTGAAGTATGTTGAAACACGTAACATTTGAGGCTCGAAATTGACCGTTTGCCAGCTTCCTGCCCGTAGTCCTGACCAGCCTCCGTTCCCCATCCCGCAGCGTTCAACATCCAAGCACAATCGCGTCAAGTCCTACTCCGGGGGAACATTCCACTTCGAAGAATGCGGCGAACAGGTCATCACTCCACCTGCTGCCGAGCTTGAAGGGCCGTCACTGGCGCCTCCATTGGCCTGTCCTTATCTCAAGCACGACCCCAAGACGTATGGTCAGAGAAGAGGTTGTAGAGGGGCCTCGTTCACCTCTACGCACAGGTTGAAGTGAGTGGTGTCCCAAAATACGACTCGCCTTATGAATCTTCGAGACTGACTTGACTCAAGGGAGCACTTGCACAGGACGCATAGACAGAAGCCGAACTGCCCGCGTTGTCGCATGACGTTTTCCGCAGAGGCGGAGGTGCGTGAGCATCTCAAGTCGCAGAGTCTGTGTGAGGTTCTTGAAGGGGTGTCTGTTGAGGGCTTTGACGAGGTTCAAGAGAAGCAACTGAAGAGCAAGAAGCGCGGAAGGGTTGTGAAGTCCGAACAGGACAAGTGGAGAGAGATCTACCGGATACTCTTTCCAGATAACAGCGAGATTCCCGATCCTTGTAAGCTTTTCGCGCAACTTGAGAAGTGTGTTGGTTCACTAACAAGCTGTGGTAGTATACAATCTTGCCTTTGACGACACAACCCCGACTGGCGCTGCCCAAACAGACCACCAAGATGCCGGGGCCATCTTCAAGCAACCAGTTCCGTGCAAATTGGAGGAAGAAACGTTATCGCTGATGGAGGACGCTGTAGGTGGTCAGTTGAACACGAAGAAGAGGAGGAAGATCATGGACGTCTGTAAGGATTTCGCCATCAAGATGCTTCGATCGCCGAGGAAAGGCAAGGGCTCGGCGACAAGAAGTAAAGAACTTGCGAGGAAAGCAACAGTCACAACAAGCCCCGCTTCCCCGGGAAGCTCGCCGGAGTCCAGCCACAGACCACGGACGTCAGAGGCCCCAGGACCCATGATGATGTTGTCCCTGGACGGCACGATGGAGACGGGGTCTAAGGCAGCGCCCGAGACCGGACTCTCGACAATGGATACTCATTGGACTCTTCCGGAACAGGGCGGGTTCGACATGGGCCAGGAATTCGATTTCAGTGACTGGCCTCTTTGGAACCAAGCGCTTGCGGAGGGATCAAGCTATGGCTGGTCCAATGGTGGAATGGGGTCCCCGTACAAGATGACTTTCGAGGACGCGCAAGTGCATTCGGATAACCAAGGATATGAGGGTGTGCCCTTGATGAGTCACGACACAAATACCCAGGGTTCAAGTGCAGTTGTAGGAGTGAACAGTCACTAGGTAGCGGATACTACAAAGTCGTAGCACTAAGCTCAGGAATGTAATACAGGCATGGAGCGCTATGCTCGAGACCTCTTGAAAGATACTATCATGACTACAGCTTATGTTACTGCCCCAATTTCTGTTCTCGTCTCTATTTCTATCTCTATCTTCATCTCTGTTATTGTCTTTATCGTTGTCCTAATCGTCGTCTCTAGCGTCATCTCTTTCGCCGTTTCTATCGTCGTCTTTGGCTCTCTGAGTTCCCTCTCTCTGAATTTATTCAGAAGGCACGACTGATGGTGCTAGAGTATGCCATACTATGACTTTTGGACAAAACATGGTGCAGTGGAACAGAATAAGCGATGCGAACTATACCGCATCCGAAAGGTTACGGAAACCAAGAAGACGTTAAATCACAAACCGCCACCTGTTCATTTTAGGCTGGTGGCTAAGACCTTTATTGCCAGTAGATAGTAGAAGTCCCTATAGGAGGAACGCCTGAACACACAAGCAAAAGGACATTGAGACGACTCTCTCGATGTTGTATTGGGTGGTCGCTAATCCCACATTTAAGCCGCTTCATCATTGATCTTCTTGTGCCTTGCTCCGAGTCTCCTGGTTTCGTCTACATCGCCTTCCACAAGCACCGAAGCGAGATAGAAAATTTCACGGATTTGAAACTGACGTTGATGATGAAGAAAGTGATGATTGTCCAACGATATTCGTGTAACAGACAGCCGATGAATGCAATCTGCCCAGCCACTGCAATGAGAATTAAAATTTGGGGAAACAGAGAGACCTTCTCGTACGCAGTCTCTGCCACTTTCAGCCTAGACTCCCACTTCTTGTGTTGCGTAGAATCTTGATTTCTCTGTTCAGCTACACAAGCTGTGCTGTTGCACTGTTGGGGAGTGACAGAGTCGGATCCAGCCGTAGCAGCAACTTCTGACGAAAAGTGCAGGCTCCTCAGTTGGGAATCTTGGTCATTCTCGTTAGTTTTCTATCTGTTACTTCCTTTTGTGTCTTTCAGGTGATCGCTGACCCCCTTCAAGCTGGATAACTCCCTCCAGGGGGTTTGTTCACTTACTACTAGTTACCTCAAACACCCCCAGGATGATGATCAAAGGCAAAGCTAAGGGCATGATCTGGCCGAACTTTGGTTCCTTGAGCGGCGAGGCATCGACACCGTTGACTTTGAGACCCCGTATCAAGTTGATAATGTTGTATATGGTGAAACTGACGTTGGTGAAAATAGCCCAGCATACAGACTGCGACAAATCATCAAGCAAGACTGGTAAGGCGAACCACCACTTCTTCCACCACGAGTATTGGTCACTTTCGAACTTTTGGCGCTGCTTTCTGTACTCTCTACACATTCTTCTTCTTTCGTCTCTCTCAAGCGCTTCAAACCTCTCTCTCCTTTTAGGACTTCGGTGAAACAGTTTGGTCAGGTGTATGACAGCCGCATAAGCCGGCGTGAACACCTGGGTGGCATTCCGAAGCTATTGAGTCGTAGTAGCCGCCACCAACCCAGTAGCAGAAGGCCAACCAAGCAGCCCTATTCAGCGTCGTGTCGGTCGGCTCAGGGGAGTGCAATGCGCACGACGTGACCTGGTGCCAACTGTTGTCCCACATGATGTAGGTACAAAGCTCGGTGACGAGGAGGAAGATAAGCAGAAGAATCATGGAAAATCTTCGGATATTAGTTTGTGTTTTGTGTTCGTGAAAATATTTCGCGAGCGCCACGAGGGAATCCATATGAACTCCTGCTGATACCCAGGCAAGATTCTGACCGCCCTCGAAAGTGAAATGTGACATGGTGCATATTTGGCTGTATAAGGCAATCATGAGCCCCAGTGTGGTGATGAGTAGCTGGTCACTGAGAGGTAGAATGATCTGTTGGTACTGGAGCTTTTGAAGAATTTTATATCTTGACACACGCGGTCTTATCCATTTGAGGACGTTTTTGTCCAGTTGGCTGTGTTGATCTGGATTAATACCGCGCTCCGGTCCAACATGTCCACCGGCCTCAGGATCGCTATTGATGTATGATAGCAAGACGAAGAAGTGTGATGCGACAACTGGAAAGATGAAAGCAGCAAGGACCTTGTGGAACGTCAACCAGGCTCTGAAGCGCTGTGGCAGATATCTTACCCCGAATCCCATCATGTCAGCATCCGTTGGGTCGTCCACGCCTTCCGTACAATTGCCGCCGCATGTAAGCTCCATTTTGTCAGAAGCTGAGGAAGTGAGTATTTGTCGTGCGACATTTCTGGAGGTAAGTACCGTATTATATGCGCTGGCCTCAAGGAGGAGATGTTTCCTCTCTACATATGTGATCGTCCACACCTCATGTACAGTAGCATGCAAGATGACGACCGGAGCAACACAAGATAAGCATAGCCTGCCTTCCAAAGCATGCGCCTTCTCGGTATTTGGAGCAGGCTGCCAGTGCGATCTGGGAAGGTTCTATCCCTTGACGTCAGGCCGTGACCCAATCGTGTTGTTCTCGCAGGACAAGCTAGCTTGTTAGGGTGCCATCTGCGTGGGCGGCGTATATGGACCGGTGCACGTTATCACACACATACATATGTTCACCTCGAGCATCCGCAATTGTTGCAGGCAAATCTCTGGCGTCAGCCCGGCGGCCTCGTCAGTATTTGCGAGACGTTGCAACAGCCGGTCGCATTTAAGCCGGATTTGCGACCTCAGGGCCCCAATAATCACACGGTCATTGGGATTCAGACTAAAGATAAGCATTTGAGAAGCAAAAGGCCCAAACGTAGTCGAAGATGGACAGCAAGGGGACGTTCTATACAAGCATCGTTACCAACAAGAGGGCTTGGTGGCCAGCAACTAACACGATCAGAGAGATCAAGGTAGCTAGAGGATATTTAAAGTAAGTAATTTGAGGAAATAGGCTGCGGCCTTCACCTCTGCTATTTCGACGTAAGGGGTAATACATTAACGACGTTCATACATGTGCCTTGTGACAACTTTCCTGATTTTCTGCCCGGATACCCCAGATCGAGCCATGATTACACCCACGCACCACTGGGACTTGTTGACTATTGGTATAACATCTCGCGAATCATATCTCCATTCAATTTCGTGTTTCTTCTTGGTCTTCTCGCTGCTCATCTTCATGACCTTGAATAGCTTCTCTATTCCTCCGCTTCTTTCTCACCTCTCTGAAGCCTCTAAACCCCACTGCTATTTGCCACAAGACAGAGAATGTTTTTAAAGCAAAAAGACCGGTGGCGGTCTCGTCGAAATACATCACTAATGCACAACAGAAGCCTAATTGTGCTGCTACTGTTGCGACGACAGCCGCTTTACTGTACTTCGGGGTCTCGCTGTAAACGGCCTCCATCAGCTGCTCGAATGAAGCCAGCTCATCACCTCCCGCCTCCCGCTGTAGAGTATTGGTCCGGCCTTGTAGCTATATCTCATGAGTTGAATCGATTGATATTTCACTTCGAGGATGATCGATCTGCGTATCTGTGGCTTCGGGACAGGCGTCGGCGAGGTCTAGCTCTCCGGTGCTGGACGCATCCCCTGCGGTAACCAGTCGTTGGTTCAGGGTCGATGCTTCTCTAGAAACTGGATGAGAGTTCTCCAACTCCGGATGGTGTGTAATACAATTGCCAGGCCTCGAGCTTGTTTGAGGTACTTGTGAATTGCCTTTGAGTGGTAGGTTTGATTCTAGACTTGGGGTCCCTATTAAGTAATGCTTTGAGTCAGTCATCAGCTTTCTCGGCTAAGGTCGCGTCTGGTCACCTACCACTAGCTTCCATAAAGCTGAATATGAAGACAAGAAGAAGCAGTATCGGCATAATCTGGCCGAATTTAGGCTCCAGAAGGGATGAAATGTTGACACCATACTTTAGCCCGAAAAGTAGGGCAGCTACGAAAGTGGTTATTATCCACCCTGCGAAGACTACAACGCCCATTATGTCATAAAATGTTGATGTTGTCATATCCTCTGCAATGGCCTGGCTGACAATGCGCATTTTTGTTGGAAATCCGCTAGGCTGCCGTCGAAGCGCGGAGATAGACTTAGCGTTAGACTGGCTAAATCTTCGGTCCTCTTGCCTCACCAGCTCTTCTCGGTCCTCCTGAGACCTCTCATCTCGATAAACAAGGCGCAGTAGCACCAGAACCCAAGCGCTTACGGGTTGGTACATCGTGAAAGGTTCATAAAGCTTGAACATGGCGGTGTAGAGTCCGTAAGTAGTGAACCAACTCTCGATGAGCGAGCCCCAGAGTATGTGACTCCAGGGCGCTTTCGGGCTGATTATGTTGCAAAGAGCATAATCGTCGGCATCGCCTTCTTGTACAATTCTGTTGATGAATACACTCACTATCTGAAGAATGGTGGAAAAAACCATTGATCCCAGTCGGATCCTGGCTTGTATCTGGTGTTTGGCGAAATATTCCTTCAACGCGATGAGAGTTAATGCATGAATATTTGCAGCAAAAAATGAGAGGCTGATACTGATTTGAAAGGTGAAACTCGAAACGCTACAGATCTGCGAGTATGTCGACACGAAGAGCGCTATACTTGCGACGAGCGTCTGGTCGCTGAGTGTGAGAAGCAACGCCTCATATCTGACCATTCGCAGCCATATCCACATCTTATGGTCCGGCTGTAACAAATTCCAGAGCCATATCTGTTTCTTTAACTTGGAATTGAGTGTCAAGATGAGTTTATTGTCGAAATGGGCGTACTGGCTGTTGGGCAGCGTGTGAGACAGATATGCCACGACCAGCACGGCATTGGAGAGGAGCGCAGGCATGGCAAATGCCAAAAGAACCTACATTGATTGTCAGAAGAGTACTTGGGATCATGTAATTCAAAAGAGTCAATACTCCGAATCCCATCACATCAGGGTCCGCAACATCCTCCAGGTCCATGGTAGCCGGGCAATCGGTCACATTAGAGCAGGTCCAGACCATGTTTTCGAGCACGTTACGTGGCAGATGTATTTGAGATACTACCTTGGCTGATGAAACTA